TCCCCTCAGCAGTGTATTTCATCAGTTTGCCTGTTCTGTTCCCCGCTCTGGCTCTGGTGAATTCTCTCACCTTCCTGTGATTCTGACTGTACCCAGTGCTTGTATAAATAAATAAATATATCTTCTAAAAAAAAAAATTACATTTTCTCCTTTCATCCAAAGCTTGAATTAGAGGACAAATATGCCTTTAATATCTATTTGCTTTGATTATCAATCTTAGGCAAACAAGGCATCTGGAACTATGCCTTGCTATTTGTGTATTTCTTAAACTGTCAACTCTATCAAGTCAAAGCCATTGAAATTTTCATATCTGGATTCTTTTCATTTTTTTTTCACTTAATAGTTTGGAATTTCCATTATGTGTCATCAGTTTTCTAAGATAGAGCATATGTCCTCCAGTTTTTCTATTGTATATACTACATATAATAACACATATAAATATAAAAATGCATGTTATATGTATACTGATATATCATATTGTCAACAATCACATCATTAGTAAAGGGGTGTATGTAGGGTAAGGTAAAAGTATCAGTCTTTTCTGCCCTCCCGCCATTAGGATAGATGACGGAACCCTGTGGTCCCGAATGCATGCCTAATGGCGGGCACTGTCCGGAGCCATCCGGAGCATGCGCCGTGTTGCGTATGTGTGCCATGAGCTAAGTTTCGCTTTACCGTTTTGCTTTCGGAGAACCACAGGTTTTTCCTGTAAATCACATGAGACTGGGAGGTACGGGGGGAGGAGCTACGAGGGTATAAGAGGAGAACGCGGGAGAGAGAGAGAAGAAAAGAGATTTAAGAGGAGAACCATGAGAGAGGAGAGTGCTGCTGCGAGAGGAGCAGAGAGAAGGCCAGGGAAGTAAGAAAGACAGGGAAAAGAAAAACATGTAAGAGTAGGAAAAGGATAAAGGAAAATAAAGAAGCAAACGCTAGTGTCAAGTTGTCTCAAGCCCCTCATTTCAATCCTCAGCCCTTCTCTTTTCGTGCCTCCGAATCCCGCGGGTCGGGACAGGGCACCTGGAGTAGGGTGTGGGCATAGCAATAGATGGGATTCACCAGGGCTAAGACTGGGCTTTTAAGGGCGGCATCACAGGGATGCCAGCAGAAGCCAAGAATGAACAGAAGCCGAGAGAAGAAGAGAAGCAGGGAGAACACAAGAGCAGGCCGGAGAGCCCAGATAGAGTAAAGACTTGCTGGGGGCTGGGAGGACTGCCAGCCTCCTGGCCCCCCAGCACCCCTGCCTGCCATATGCCTGGTAAATCTAATGAAAGCCTGAAAAAGCCACTGAGGACTCTGACTCCTCCTTTACCCAGTCTGCTGGATCATAGAAAACCTGCTAGGGCCTGTCCTGCCCTACAGTGTATTAGTCAGCAATCTTCAGAAAAACAAAATATGCTATTTATAGAAAAACATTCAACACAGTCATGGGGACTGGCAAGTCTGAAATCTGTAGAGTAGATAAGAGATGTGTAGCGTAAGGTAAAAAGTATCAGGCTTTTCTGCCCTCCTACCATTAGGATTGACGATGGATCTATGATCTTGAATGCATGCCTGATGATAGGCACCTGAAATAGAGTGTGGGCATGAGTAAGTGGGTACACCTGGGCTGAGAGACTGGCTTATAAGGGCAGCATCATGGGGACACCAGCAGAACCACGAGAGAAGGAGAACCACGAGAACGAAAGGGAAGCAGAGACCACCAGGGAGCCCAGACAGAGTGAAGACTTGCTGGGGGCTGGGAGGCCTGCCAGCCTCCCGGTCCCCCAGTACCCATGCCTGCTGTTTACCTAGTAATTCCCAATAGAAGCCCGCAAAAGCCACTGAGGGCTCCAGGACTCTCCTCCTTTACCCCATCTGCTCAGATCAGAGTACCTGCTCCATGTCATTCCTGACCCTTATAAGATGATACTGCAATCATGAGTTTGAAAGCCATAGGGCAGGCCAAGCAGGCAAGATACTCACACAGAGCTTCTATGATGCAGTCTTAAGGCATAGTGTTTTTTTTTTCTTTTTTTTACGAAATCTGTCTCTGATCTTAAGATTCTTCAATAGACTGGATAAATCCCACCTGCATCATAGAGTTACCTGCTTTACCTAAAGTCCTCTGATTGCAAAGTTTACCACATCTGAAAAATACCTTCACAGCAGTATTTAGACTGATTTGACTAAATAGCAACACCATAACCTAGATAAGTCAACACATAAAACCTTCACAGGGGGTATTTTGTTTTGTTGGATTTGTTTGAGTTTGGATTCAGGTTTTTTGATAGGGGTGATAGTTACTATGGTATCATATTTATCAAGTCGCTATGTGTAGGTGTAGGGTAAGGAAAAAGTGTCAGGCTTTTCTGCCCTCCCACCATTAGGATAGATGACGAAACCCTGTGGTCCAGAATGCTTGCCTGATGGCGGGCTCCTGGAGTAGGGTATATGCAGATGGGCTTCACCTGGGCTTTTAAGGGGCTTTTAATGGCGGCGTCACGGGGATGCCAACAGAAGATGAGAGAGAAGCAGAGAACGCCGGAGAGCCCAGAATGAAGACTTGCTGGGGGCAGGGAGACTGCCAGCCTCCTGGCCCCCCAGCACCCTTGTCTGCTGTGTACTGGGTAAATCCCAATAAAAAACTGAAAAGCCACTGAGGGCTTGTAGAGGCAGGAACAGACACGGTGCAGGTTTTCTAAGATCCAGCAGACAGTGTAAAGGAGGAGTCAGAGTCCTCAGTGGTTTTTTGCAGGTCTTTTATTGGGGTTCACCAGGCATATGGCAGGCAGGGGTACTGGGGGGCTGGGAGGCTGGCAGTCCTCCCAGCCCCCAGCAAATCCTCACTCTATATGGGCTCTCCGGTGATCTCTGCTTCTGCTTCTTTGCTTCTCTCTCTGCTTCTCCTTCGGCTTCTTCTGGTGTCCCCATGACGCTGCCCTTAAAAGCCCAGTCTCACCCCAGGTGAATCCCATCTACCTATGCCCACACCCTATTCAAAGTGCCCCCCATCAGGCATGCATTCAGGACCGCAAGGATCCATCATCTATCCTGATGGCGGGAGGGCAGAAAAGCCTGACATTTTTCCTTACCCTACAGGGCTCCAGGACTCCTCTTTACCCAGTCTGTTGGATCAGAAAACCTGCTCCATGTCCAGTCCTGCCCCTACAGTAGAGTAAAGTAAAAATTATCAGACTTATCTGCCCTCCCACCATTAGGATTGATGATGGATCCTTGTGGTCCTGAATGCGTGCCTGATGGCGGCCACCTGGAATAGGGTGTGGGCATATGTAGATGGGATTCACCTGGACTAAGACTGGGCTTATAAGGGCAGCATCATGGGGACGCCAGGAGAGAGAAGCAGCAGAACCACGAGAGGAGCAGAGAACAATGGCCACAAGAGAACACCAGAGAGCCTATAAAGAGTGAAGACTTACCTCCCAGCCCCCCAGCACCCCTGCCTGCCATATGCCTGGTAAATTCCAACAAAAGCCTGCAAAAGCCACCGAAGACTCAAGGACTCTCTCTAGGACTCTCCTCCTTTACCCCATCTGCTTGGGTCATAAAGAACCTACTCTGTGGCCTTCCTACCCCTTACACTATGGAATTACCATGTTTTCTTCATAGAAAATTTGCTACCAGGTTGCATTTAATCTACAATAAAATAATTGCAATTTAGAAACCAATATGAGGTACTAATCTACTTTGTAATATGTTATGCAGTCAAACCCTAATAAATCTATTGTGTTATGCTATTCAGTCAAATTTATGTTTATAACCATTGTGATTAACTATTTGACTTACAATGGTTCTAGTAAATTTGTAATATAACAAAAAGGGAAATGTGTCAATTTCTTAAAATAATTTAAAGATGGAGCAGTTATTAAAACATTATTAATTTAAATTTATACATATCGAATTTTAATGACCCCCCCATTCATATCAACCTAGACCATAAACTAAGAATTGCAACAAGAAAATCTGATTTTTTAAAAAATGTAGTTAAAAGCTACCCTAGATTTTGGCCTCCCTGGTGGTGCAAGGGGTTAATCCTCAGCTTTATGAAGTTATTGGCAGCCACTGCGGCACGAGTTCGATCCCTGGCCAGGGAGCTGACTCTTATGGCACAGCAGACCTCTCCTGTCTCGCCTGCAGCTCCCCTCAGCAGTGTATTTCAGTTAATCCACCTGTTCTGCTCCCCACTCTGTGGTGAATCCTCTCACCTCCCCACACCTCTTGCTTATACCCCAGTTCTTGTATGCATAAATGAATATATCTTAAATAAAAAAAAGTTACCCCAGATTTGGAAGGCCTGGGAAGTGGAGAATTCTGAAACTGTATCACCCTTCTCCAGGGAATGACTGCTTAGCCTAAAATATACCACCATAGACAATGGTACACCAAGATTAAGATAGTGTTATCTCATGAATAGAGTCTTTGGAGTCAGAAACTCTGCCATTTGTTCACTGAGTTTCCTCAGTTTTCTCAGTCTTGAAGAGTTTAAATGTGAAGGTTATTGGGGATTAAATGAGTTTGTACTTGTATATTCTACAGAGTTGTACAGGTCACAGTCAATGAAATGGAGTTTTCCTACCCACCCCAGGCCTCCACCGTGACTTTTGAAATTCCATTCACTGATACCCTCTTCCTACCACTTCCTTACTATCTAATACCAACAACTTGGCTTTATTTCATTTATATCAAGGTCTCTTTTTTAAAATTAATACAGGAAATTTTCCTATTGCTAATAATCAAACATTTATTAAATCTCTTTTATATGGGAAGTAGTCTACTTCCAGAGTCACAAATATGAATGAAATACAAACTCAACCCTCAAAATCTCTGAAAGATTAAAAATTATTCCAGAGCCCAAATAGAGTAAATTGTCATTCATTAGCCTAAGTTTAGGAGTCCTTCAGAGTATTATGAAATTTTTCCACCAGCTTGGTCCTCCTCTTTCTTTCCTTCCTCTCAGAAGTTCTAGTTCTTTGTTATGACACAGATTCCAGAATTTTCACAGGCCACACTAATGTAGTCTGCTTAGGTCTGATCAGCCTGAGCCACACAATTGTTCTGTGACTTTCTGAATCCTTATTTCTGGGGGCCTTCTTCACATTCAGGTTTATACTGCTCAGAAACAGTGTGCTTGTGGTGTTCATTTTATCCTGACCACCCTCTGCCAAAGAAATCCAGATGACATGGAACCCACTGAAGACAATACATGAACAATGGCTGTCTTGGGTATGAAATGGCTCCTTTTCCAAGGCCCCCTTTAGCCTATTGGTGTGGTCTTCTCTTTGGATACAACTGCTTTACTCCTCTTTGATTATTTTCTCTCCACAGTATATATAATTTTTTTAAGATTTATTTATTTATACAAGAACGGGGATATAGACCAGAGGTGCGGGAGGGTGAGAGAATTCACCAGAGACAGAGTGGGGAGCACAACAGGCAGACCTACCGAAGACACTGCTGAGGGGAGCAGTGGGCATTACAGGAGAGGTCTGCCACGTCATGTGGGTTTCTCCCTGGCCGGCTGGGAATTGAACCGGCGCTGCAGAGGCTGCAGACAGCTTCACAGCACGGCACTCAACCCACTGAGCCACCGGGGAGCCCTCTTTTCTTCTTTTTTTTCCCCACTTACACTGATCCCCCTGGGAATCTGGAGAAATAATTCACAATCAACTCATCTCTAGAGTGAGAATGATTTCTCTTTTGGTTTCTAAACCTTGAACTGACCAAAATAAATAAATAAATAAATAAATAAATAAATAAATAAATAAATAAATTTAAAAAAATCTACTAGATAAATTGGAAAACCCCTTAGCCTGTTGTTTACTTCCTGCAGTATCTACCACTTTATATTCTGCCTCAACCATTCTTATTTTCCTCATAAATAAAATGGATCATTAACTAACCTATAGTCAGAATATGTCTGACTCTAAGAGGGAGCTCTAATTTACAGAGCTTGATTTGAGTATACCATCTGACTATCCTTTCCTTCATTAAAGACTTTAAAGGTAAAACTGATTACTTATTGCTCATTTTAGTGATCCATTAGGAGCAAAGTTATGGAGGTTGATTTGGCAGGAGAATTTTCTCACATGATTAAGACTTAAAATATTTAGGAGATATTTGCCTAATCTTCCCTAATTTGATGTGCCATTGTATGTGCCATTAATTCACCTATTGCTTTGATTTGCAGTAACCTAACCTTGATGTAATTATATTTCACAACATTTTTCACTATTATGGGCAGATCTATGATTGGTTCATTCATTCCTCCCTTCTACCATCATCTCCTCCTTTCCCTCTTCCTCCTCCTCCTTTCCTCCTCCTCCTCTGTCCTACTCTCTCCACTCCCCACTCCTACCCTTCTTCACCCAGAACCTCCGTAACCTCTGTTCTTCATAACCATAGCCAGCTATCTGTTTAACTTAGGTATCTCTCCTATGACACATAAATACAGGTTAGGCAGTTCCAGTATCCTATTGAACAAGATAAAGTCCTTCACAAATATCTCTTACCATGAGAAACTTGGTGGGTAATAACTGAAAAGATCTTCCCCAAAGATAATTAATTCCTGCCCCAAACTGTGATTGTCATTAATTATGAAAACCTTTAGTAAGTGACCTCCAACTTTTTTTAATTTCTCACCATGTAAAAATATTTTACTCATGCATTACCAATATATGTATATTTGTATATTGCCAGTATATGTATATTTCTAGAACTACTATTGTAGTAGAATGGAAAATACAGAATTTTTTTAAGTTGTATGATAAAAATACATCAAAATAGAAGAGTTTTCCCATACTCCAGTGGAGTGCATTGCATGCCACCAATTTCTTCTAACCACCTGCCTGAAGAGTAAGAAATTCAATTGAGAAGGAAATCCGTAAGACTTCCCACTCTAAACCAAGGGAACACGGGCCTCCCCGGTGGCACAGCGGTTGAGCGCTGGGTTGCGAAGCTGCCCACAGCCTCTGCAGCACCGGTTCCATCACCGGCTGCTCCCCGGCCACCGGGAGGAGGGTCCCACATGGCGCCCAGAACTCTCCTGCCGCCCGCTGCTCCCCTCAGCAGTGTACTTCGGTCCTTCTGCCTGCTCTGCTCCCCACTCTGGCTCTGGTGACTTCTCTCACCCTCCCACGCTTCTGACTGTACCCAGTGCTTGTATAAACAAATAAATAAATAAATAAATGTTAATAAATAAATAAATAAAATAAACAGGACTTCTTTAAAAAAAATAAAATAAATAAACCAAGGGAACAATACATCCGAAGTTCTTAGTATCTGACCAAAATTACTAACTAAAAGGTTAATAAATGGGCTAAAAAATGCCCATTTATTAGCTGTTTAGGACTGTGGTTATAATAAAATGAGGAATATAAAGGAAGAGGAAATTCAAGTAGCAGAAAAAAGGAAATCTAGCTGGTGAAACCAATAGCAGGTGATCAGAATTTTTCTCTGATAAGACCTCATCTAAATGATCAGAACTATAGGTGAGTTTTTGTTTCAGAAATAACTCTGGCAGTCATCCTGACTCTTCTGGGATTTGCCATTCTGGCTATTTTGCTAACGAGGTGGACACGTCGCAAGCACAATGGTAAGTAACAATGACTCAAACTGCAGATTCCCCACAGAAATAATAGTGGGAGAGATGCTGAGATTCAGTCTGAAGCAGTTTATACTTACGGAGAGCTAGTGACTATGCCAAGATTCTGAGAATGTGTTTTGATAGATAAATCAAAGAATCATTGATCTATTAGGAATTCCCACTGCATATTTAAATTCCTTAAGCTCAATAACATCCAAAAATTCACAGATCACGTTTAACAATAATAATAACAAAAATACACTAAAAGAAAATAATCTGACCTCCAAGGGGAATTACCTGAGGGAGAAAATGGATGTGAGAAGACACTATGTGAATAGACATCACTAGATAGTATTACATGCAAATTTGAGAATTTTAAAGACTTAATATCAGGGTGGTGATAAGAAAAGACAGATCCAGAGAACCATTTGCCAATGAAAGAGATAGACTCAAACCCATTGATTAAGTATATATGTCACTATTTTGGGGTGTTTGTTTTTTTTTGTTAAATCTATTTAAATTTTAGGTCATTGTTTTGATACATGAAGATTAAATGTATAATACAAAGACTGAAAATAAACGAAACAGAGCTGACCTCATAAATGAAATGAGTTTGTCCCATGTCATGAGGTCTCTCCAGAATTTTTCTCAATATCCCTTCTCGCCTGCTGCATCCCCTCCCTAGTGTTCATTCTCAGTGCCTATGAGGCTTGGAGAATCATCAGTGTAGAATAGAAAGCTAGAACAGGGCTGGATGAAATCACCTAAAAGTGGGAATCAATCATGCATCATCATGAGGGCCATCTTGGTAGCAAAGAAGCACAGTATAGAGTGAGGAAAGTTGAAGGGTGAAACACTGCTCACAAGCAGTTAATGTAAACATTTTCTGAATTCTTTCACAGAAATTGATGTATCAAGATACAATTCAGAACAAAGTAAGTACTTACACCCTAGAGAAAAAGAAAGTAAATATTTATGGAGTTTCCATATGTCAAGTTCCAAATCTATCTTGTTTACCATTGCATTTCTATCACCTTGCATACTATGTCTTTCCATAGATGGAACTTTAAAGTTACTGGGAGAAATCCACCAAAGATTTCATGTAACACCAAGGACCAAACTGGAGTTGGGCAGTGTGAATTAGTAGTGGGTAGTTCTGTGTAATTCATGGAGCCTCTTTCAGATGATCATATGGTCTGGGAGCAGTGATAGAGATGCCAAACCATGGAAAACAGCAGACTCAGGCAACTGAGGAGGTCTAAATCTGGTAGTGAAAAGGGGCTCAGCAAGGTGACTGGGGAGAATAATCTAACATAGTTAAAAATAATGTGATTATGACTGAGTGAGAAAACATCAATTCAAAATGTGAGCAGGTGAAGTAGACTTCCATGGTGATAGCCAGTGAGGTGCCAAAGTTGCTGAAAGGTAACACAGGATTGATAAGAGAGGGCAAGCAAAAGGTAGTGCTAGGTTGTGGAGAAGGGAGATCAACTTTGAGGCCCCTTATAATTATTATTTTCATAATACTATGAAACTGGTAACAGGCACAGTCTCTTATCCATACCTGTTACTTATTGCACAGTTCCTAGTTTCTGCAAAGGAAATTAATTCACATTGTTATTCTCTGCTGGAAGTTCATTATATATCAGTTCTCAGAGTCTTAAATAGAATGCCACTAATTTTCAAGTTGCAAAATCATAAAACTCACTCTGCTTTTTCTGCAGGTGCTGGTCTTCTGGACTATGAAGATGGTAGAGGTAAGCAGGTTAGGAACTGTATGTGTTCATTTTTCTCTTATCTCTGAAATGTTTATTTCTTTAATCAAGATTTTCTATTTTTAAGCTCTTGATAGCATATTCTGTTCCACTCTAGTTAACTTATGTCATTACTATATATACTTATGTAATTATTTGTTTAAAACCTAACTCTGCCATCAGATTGTAGTTTCCATGAGAAGGGAATCGTTTACCATTGTATTTATTTATATTTAATTATTTTTATTGAGCTAGCACTGCATTCTAACATTATGTGAGTTTCAAATGTGTATCATTAAAAATCAACATGTGCATTAATTTCACCACTAAACACCCAATTCTATCCTTAATATACAATCGACTTGTTTTGTCTAATTAACCCACCCCTTTTCTCCCTTCCCTTTTGATAATTTGTCTTATAGTCTAAAAGTTTTTTTTACATATTCATTTGTTTATTTATATATTACATGTGTGTGAGATCATATGGTGTTTTTCTTCTATGTCAGACTTTGCTAAACATACCTTCTAAATCCATCCATGTTGCTACAAATGGCAGGATTTCTACTTTTTATAGCTGATTAATATCCCATTATGCATATACACCACATGTTCTTTATTTAATCATCGGCGAGTAGGTTGTTTGCAGATCTTGGCTATGATAAATAATGTTGCAATAAAAATGGGATGCATATTTGAATTTCTTTTTGTACTTCTCAGGATGATATTCACAAGTGGGATAAATGGATCATATGGGATTTTTACTTTTCAATTTTTTGAGGAATCTTCACTCTGTTTTCAAAAATTGCTGCACTAATTTACATTCCCACCAACAGAATGTAAGGGTTCCCTTCTCTCCACTCTTTACAATAATTGTTGTTTCTTGTCTTTTGGATAATTGCCATTCTCACAGGTATGAGGTGATATATCATTGTTGTGACTTGCATTTCTTAATAAGAGATAAGGAGTATTTTCATGCACTTATTGGTTATTTGTATGCTTTCTTTAGAGAGGAGGATGTTCAGATCATTTGCCATCTTTTTAATCATGTTGCTCTGTTGTTGACTTTTATGAGTTCTTTGTATATTTTGAATATTAACCTGTTATTAGCTGTATAACATGCAAATAGCTTCTCCTATTCAATGGAACATCCTTTTATTTTGATGCAAGTTTCTTTTGCTGAAGAGAGCTTTTTGGTTTAGTGTAGTTCCATTTCTTTAATTTTGTTTCCCTTTCCCTTGCCATTGGAGTCATGTCCAATGGCTCAAAGCCAATATTCAGGGTCATATTAACCATGAGTATTTTATGGTTTTGGTGTTTACATCCTGAAAATTGTGAATTAAATTTTTGAATGGTGTTAGGTAGTAACCTGTAGTTTCATTCTTTCATGTATAGCTGTCCAGTTTTCTCCAAACCACTTATTGAAGAGACTGTCTCTACTCTATGCTTTTTGTTCCTTTGTAGTAAATTCATTGTCTATATATGTCTGGTTTTACTCTGGTTTCTCAGTTATGTTTCACCGACCATGTATCTTTTAAATTCCAACACCATACAGTTTTAATTTGTAGTATATTTTAATACCTTCTTTTTTTTTAATTCAGGAATACATTTGCTATTTGGGGTCTTTTGTAATTCCAAATAAATTTCATGGATACTGTTATATTTCTGTGAAGAATATTATTGGTATTTTGGAAAGGGTTGCATTGAATCAGTATTTAAGTAACAGTCATTACAGTGATGGTAATTTTTTAATTCATTAGCATGAAAAATCTTTCCATCGTTTTGTGTCTTCTATCCACAATGTCTTGTGGTTCGGGGTGACTTTTATATCTTTGGTTAAATTTATTGCAAGGTACTTCATTCTCTTTGATAATATTTTATCAAATGGAATTATTTTTCCAATTTCTTTCTTCTGCTAATTCATTATGTGCCTATGCAAGTGCAAAAGATTGCTGTATATAGCATTTTTTCATCCTGCCATTTACTGATTTTTATATTTCTAAAAGATTTTTTACTAGAGTCTTAGGGACTTTCTATATCATGTGTACTTTTTCTTTCCAGTTTGGATGCTGTTTATGTCTTTTTGTTTTTATTTACCCATATTAGAACTTCTAACACTATGTTGATCTATAAGGGGAGTGCAGGAAAAACTTTTAGTTTTTCTCTTTGGAGTATGATATTGCCTGTGGCTACATCATATATGATCTTTATGATGTTGAACTATGTTCCTTTATACCAATTTTGTTGAGCATTTTTATCACAAAGGGATGATGGATTTTGTCAATTATTTTTACTCTATCTATTGAGATGACCATACAATTTTTGTCCCTCCTTTTTTGATGTATCAGTTTGATTGATTTGTATATGTTGAGCTGTATTAGAACCCCTGGAATAAATTCCACTTGATGATGATGTATGAATTTTGTGATACTGTTGAATTTAGTTTGCTAATATTTTGTTGAGAAATTTTGCATATAAATTCATCAGAGATGATTGGTAATGTTCTTGACTGTTTTTGGATTCAGAGTAACATTTACTTAATTAAATGTGTTTTAAAGCATTCCCTCAGTTTCCATTTCTGGAATAGTTTGAGAAAGATCATTATTAATTCTTTTTTTGAAAGGTTAGTAGAAAGCACTTTTGAACATGATTGGTTTTTGTTCTATAGGAGGCTTTGGATTACTGCTTAAATTTCCTTATCATTAACATTCTGTTTAGATTTTTATTTCTTCATGATACATTCTTGGAATTCTGTATGTTTCTAAGAATTTGTTTTTTGCAGATTACCAATTTTGTTGCAATATAATTGTTCATAATACTCTTATGATCCTTTACATTTCAGGATTATCTGCTGTCATTTCTCCTCTTTCGTTTCTGATTATATTTATTTGTATTTTTTCTCTTATTTGTGAGAGAAAATTTTGTCAATATTGTAAATCTTTTCAAAGAACCAGTTAATGGTTTCACTGATCATTCAAAATGTCTTTTTTAATCTGCATTTTATTATTTTCTTTTCAAATTGTATTTATTCCCCCCCTTTGACATTTGGCTTTGCTTTTTCACCTTTTCTAGTTACTTTTTATGTAAACTTAGATAATTTATTTGTGATTCATCTTGTTTATTGAGGTTTACCTGTCATATTACTGTAATATTCCTGCTCAGTGCTGCTTTTGCTGCAATCCATAAGTTCGGATGCTATGTATTCATTTAAATTCATTTCTGGATATTTTGTGATTTCACCTTTGATTTCCTCATTGCATGGTATTTATTCTTCACAGATTTGACTTTCTGCTTTTTCTTCTTTTGGTTGCAATATTAGTTTGGTTGAAATATTAGTTTTGTGGGGCCTCCCTGGTGGTGCAAGGGGTTAAGCACCGCACTATGAAGCAGTCCGCAGCCTCTGCACCACAAGTTCGATCCCCTGCCGGCTAGAGAGCAACCTACATGACGAAGTGGACCTCTCCTATTTCATCCGCTGCTCCCCTTAGCAGTGTATTTCAGTCAGTCTCTGTGTTCTGCTCCCCACTCTGTCTCTAGTGAATCCTCTCACCCCCCGCATCTCTGGCCTGTACCCCAGCTCTTGTATGCATAAATAAATAAATCTTTAAAAAAAAAGAAATATTAGTTTCATAATATTGTGATCCAGAAAGATAATTGATACTTAAATCATAAATTGATTGATGTGTCCCAACAAATGACTTCTCCTTGAGAATGTTCCATGAGCACTGAAAAATAATTTGCATTCTGTTATTTTGAGGTAGAATACTTGGTAAATACCTATTAGTTCCATCTTATCTAATTTGGCATTAAGGTTATTGTTTCCTTGTGGATTTTTTGTGTAAATGATCTATTCATTGCTGTAATAAAGTATTAAAATCCTCTTTATTATTGTGTTTTGCTATGTTTCCCTTGAGATCTGTTAATTTTTCCTGTGTATTTTAAAGTGCAGCTATGATGGATGCTTATATACTAATAAGTATGTCTCCCTGCTGTGTTAATCATTTTATTGTTATGTAATGTCCATCTTTGTCTTCTACTACCTTTTTGGCTGGAGGTTTATTATTTGTTGTAAGTAGAGTTGTTCCATTCTTTTTTAAGTTTGCCATTGGTTTGGACTACCATTTCCCATCTTTTAACTTTAAATCTTTATTTGTCTTTATAGCTTAAGTGAGTCTCTTGTGAGCACCATAGTTGGGTTTTGTTTGTTAATCCATCCTCCAGATAATATGTGTTTGACTGCTGAGTTCAATTCATTTGCATTTCAAGTTATTGATATTTGAGGGTTTACTATTTCCATTTTGTTTTTAGTTTTCTTGTTTTATTTATATCTTTATACAATTTTTGTAAACTTTTTTTTTTTTTTTAATTTGATGGGAAACTCCTTTCAACATTTCTTGTAAGGGAGATCTAGTAGCGGCAAAAACCTTCAGCTATTGTTTGTCTGGGAAGTCCTCTTTTCTCCCTCAGTTCTGAAAGAGTGTTGCAGGATATTGAATTCTCACTGGCAGTTTTTATCTTCAAGTATTTTGAATATATCATTCTACTCTCTCCTGGCCTATAGAATTCCTACTGAGAAGTTTGATAAAAGCTTGATTGGCATACCTTAATAACTCCCTGCTTTTCTCACTCACTAGTCACTTTGAATAGTCTTTTTTTTTTTTATCCTAGATTCTTGGTCGTTTCATACTGTGCTTCTTGTAGTATGTTATATGCATTTAGATAAATAGGTGTTCTGTCAGCTTCCTAGACTTGTATATTCAGTTTCTTCCCAGGTTTAGAAAGGTTTCAGTTTATCCTTAAAGAAGCTCTCTGTTCCCTTCTCTCTCTCCCCACTTTCTGAGATATCCATTTCCCTTGTGTTGCCTTCCCCAGTGTAATCAAATAGTTCTCATATTGTTTCTTTACTATTTTTTTTTTAATTTCTGAATCCTCTTCCTCCACTTAATTAATTTGTAGGTTTCTATGTTTGAGTTCACTTATTCTTCCTCCATTTCATCTATTCCATTTCCATACTTTCTATAGCACTTCTGACCATATTTCTTGAGCTCTTCATGCACTTAATTTCTATTATTTTTTATTTAAATCTTCAATTTTTATCTTATAATCATCAATTCTATCTATGAGCTGATTAATTTGTTTTTCTGAGTTTTGCTATGTCACTTTTATTTGCTTTTCTGAGTTCTCTTGTATCACTTTTACGTGACTTCCTGCATTTTCTTGTACCTCTGAGTTTGTTACAGTCAATATGAATTCTATCTGGTGTATAATCTTCCATGTCTTTGAGGTTGGATTCCAGAGTGTTCTGTCTTTGTAATATCACATCCCCTTGAGATTTCAAGTTGTCATTTATTTTTGCCTATCTATATCTTCACTATTTTAAATTTTCGTGGCATTTTTTTTTAATCTGGACTTCTGACTTAGAGTTGAGCAGCTTATGTTTTACTTTTTCAGCAAGTGGCACTCAAGCTGTATTTTAATTTACTTCTTTGGTTCCAGCTAGCTTCCAAAGTTACTTAACTACTCTTAGCAATTGCTGTGTGAGAGTGATGAGGGAAGAGTGTATAGCTGGTTTATTTATGTCATGAATGTCCTCAGGTTTTCCTGTCTTATAATTTTGTCACTACTAATATCCTTCATCAATGGAATACCAGATCTAGGACATGGAGGTCTCTCTTCTATCAGTGCACCTCATAATTTCAATATGGGTTCTGAGAGGAGTGTAATCATAATGCCTTATTTGTTGTCATCCTTGCTGGAGTCCTGGTCTATGTGAAATTCCTGAACTTCTCTACTAATGACTTCACCAAGGGCTGAAGGCATGGACTGCCCACATTGTCACTGCTCTCTTCTCCCCAGAGCCCCTGGCTTAACCAGCAGACATGTCTTCTGTGTCCCCCTCCTAACCACTGCCTCCACACATTCCTCTTCACCAACATTCCATTACACCCATGTTTAGATGTCCTCAGTGTTCCCTCTAGTGCAGTCTGTGTTGATGTCTTAGGTGTAGAGGGTGCTTCAAATTCATCACCATGCTGGTAGGACCTCTCAGTGGTGTTTTTGTCTAACTAATTGTTTGTCACTCATCTTGGAAGCAAATCAAGGATACTCCTCTCTTGCCAACCTTATGATGTCCCAAGAACTAGTTCTTTAAAGAGCAAAATAGAGTCATCCCCCCTTTAAGTAGGCTTTGTTAGATCACAATATCTTTTGTTGTTCCAATATCCAGATGCCAACATGTCTCTCTCTCTTGCTTTCTCACTCTGTTCTCACTCTGTCATACATGTATACCAATATAATATATAAAATATTAATATGTAACATAATTATATAAATTATAAATATATGTAATTTCTGCATTTTTCTCATTAAAGCAAATAGTCACTTCCCTAAAATCATTAAAATAATTATTTCCAGCTACTGTTCATGCTAAGATCTTGGAAAGGTTAAGAAACCACAATGAGGTGCAAGGGGTTAAGCACAGCACTGGGAAGCTATCTGCACCCTCTGCAGCATGAGTTCAATCCCCTGCCACCCAAGGAGCTACCTACATGGTGCAGTAGACCTCTCCTGTCTCACCCGCTGCTCCCCTCAGCAGTGTATTTCAGTCAATCTGCCTGTTCTGTTCCCCACTCTGTCTCCAGTGAATCCTCTCACCCCCCACATCTCTGGCCTGTACCCCAGCTCTTGTATGCATAAATAAATCTTTTTAAAAATGACAAAACTTATGTGAAATAAAACATCGAGTAATCTGATGGTCCTTGCAAGATCCAGTATACTCGCTAGGTTTTTATAGGGATATTTTCTCTCTCCTCTTCTCTCTCTCTCTTCTATCTTCTCTCTCTTCCCTCTCTCTTCTCTCTCCTCTCTCTTCTCTCTCTCCTCTCTCTCTCTTCTCTCTCTTCTCTCTCTCTCTCTTCTCTCTCTCTCCTCTCTCTCTCCTCTCTCTCCACATAGATTTATATCTTCAAGTGTTGAAGAAAGAAAAGAAGCAGTAGCTTGATCATTCTACTTACTATCCATGCTCCACACTGGAATCTTGATCCATTCCTCCTCCTCTTATCTCTCAGATTCATCTGTCATAACCAACAAGAGTGAGGAATTAAGGGTCCTAGTGTCCCCTCTCTCTTTTCTGAGCTAGAATTTTAAAAAAATGGGAAAACTAGGAAAAAATAGTAGTAGTTAGATTTAAACTAATTTTGAAACATATTATCTGTTGGTTAACTTACTCTGTTTTTCTTCTAAAAGATTTTTCCTCTCGGAGATCTACAAGAGGAAGAGGTAAGCAGATTTTCATCTAACATGAAAATAATGTAGACATAGTTGTCAGAGCAGATTCTCATTGTGTTTTCATCTTATCTTGTAGGATTTCGACATTCATATTCAACAGAAAGTGGTAAATAAATTAGATACTGAATTGGTAAGAAATTAATACAGAAATTGTTGTATGAGAAATTCAAAATTATCGTTTTCCTCAATCCTCTAGAAATGATGATTCAGGTAAATATATGTAGAGATTATGGTAAAATTAAAGAAAAATCAGTTTTTCTCTTGTTATAACATGAAGAGTTATAAATCCTACATAGGAAAAAATACAAGAAGCCAAATTAGTATATAGGTAATTTTGGAAAGTACCAGGAAATTTCCACTTCACACTATATGGCTTTTTTAATACCCTATTCCTGTCCTGTGTACCAACTAATCAGTTAACAAAGGTAATAAGAGTACTCAAGAGAAATTCAACATCCCAAATCTCAAAATACTAACCACTGCATGTGCCTCACCTAACATGAATGTGAAGAAGTGGAGTAATATTATGTCTATTGTGTCATAAATTAAAGAAATGGAATACATTTCTAAAAATTCATCATGTTAACATTTTTACATTAAAATTCCAAGACATGAAGAAGTGCTGTATTGTCTGCTATCATTATTTACATTTTATGTTTCTTAGGGAAAAGGTGTTCTTAGTAAGTTAACCATCAAAACATCACATTGAACCAGTATAAGGAGTTACCTGAATGTGAGGAATTTAAGGTTACACATATAAGCAAAATAAAACTAAACACAACAGGAGAGGAAAAGAATTAACACACACTCAGCATCCACTGTATGCTAGTCACTCTGGAGGGCTTTTCTTTTTTTTTTAATATCAATTACACATTGATAAAGTACCCAAAAACACCCTCCTGGCTGTCCAAAGTCTTGACTAGCCTGCAGATTGCTTTGGTGTCAGAGGTGTTCGTTCCTCAAGTAGATGCAGTCCCACACCCGGGACTCTGTTAGGGATTTCAGTCTCAGATACATTTGTGCAGTGATCAGCTTGTGAATCCATCAGAATACAGTGGTCCTGAAGGTACATGAGAGGCATCTCACTGTTAACATGTCCCAAATAAAATTCTGATCCCTTTTCCATGCAGGTACTGGCACATGCATTCACTCAATTGCTCAGGTCCTCTACCTTGAAAATAGCTTAATTCCTTCCTCAGACTCTTCTCATTTCATATAATGAGCTTATTCTTAAATAATTAGTAGCATCTTATTTTCACAACCACTCTCCTCCACTATCCCTTTCTCTTCCCCTGATGTAGTAAAATATTAATTATTAATTTCCTGGTTATAAATCTTTAGTGTACACTTGCAATCTTAGCTTCTCTCTATTCCAGGAAACATTTGAATGGTTAGGGAAAATTTGAACCATTAAACATTTTATTACATAAATAAGTCTTAATTTAAAATTCATAAAGTCAATAGATAATTTCTCTCACTTTTCAATCACCTTGAAGGTGATCCTATAAATCTTAATTATCCTAACAGTGCCCAAGTTTTATTAATCTTTCCTCGATCATTTCTGGACATAAAAATATAAATCTCCTGGTCAACTTGAAACCGTGGAAGTTTCTGACAGGGAGAAATTAAGGTCAGTATGTTAGTATTTAAATATGAAATTTGGTACGTAAGTCAACCAAATTGAAATATGTCACATATTACACATTAAAATTACCATGACAGTTGAAAAATTTAATTACACTGAAAGTAATTTCCTTAAATAAGTTCTATTCTGTGTATAGGTGAGTTTTCATTCATCTGTTTGCTACCCCTTCACTCCTGAATTCCCAATACTATAAAAGTGGGAGGTCATAAGAAGATAAGAGAATTTTCAAATTTCTGGAAGCTGGAAAGTTAAACATGAAACAAGGACATTGTCTTTCCTTGATGTGAGATGTACAACAAAAAGGCAGCCGACCTGCCCAGCAGAATCTCTGTGAGGCTTGGCCCTCACAGTGGAGGGCAGGAATGAAGGGGTACTGACCAGATGAATGAAAATCACCTCAGACCTCAATTCCTCACCTATGTACACAGAGTGATTCTAAGCCACAAGATATCCTAGACATATATGAAATAAATAAATGGTAAGATCTGTTGAGTTTACCATTAAATTCTCATATTTTTAGAGGATGGTAGTGTGGACTTTATAGCTATAGTAGCATGAGGAAATAGTCCCAGGAGAGGAACTTGAGGCAGAAAAGGTAGAAGTCAGATCTAGTGTCTCCCCGGTGGCGCAGGTGCAGTGCTGTGAAGCTGTCTGCAGCCTCTGCAGTGAGGCTTGGATTCCTGGCCTGCCAGGGAGATACGCACATGGCACAGCAGACCTCTCCTCTCATGCCCGCTGCTCCCCCAGCAGTGTATTTTGGTCCGTCTGCCTGTTCTGCTTCCCCTCTGTCTCTGGTGAATCCTCTCACCTTCCACACCTCTGCCCCACACCCCAGCACTTGTATAAAAAAAATAAAATAAACCTTAAAAAGAAAGTCAGGTCTAAAGAAAAATTGGACAACCACTTTACCCATGGGGCCATAATTTTCTCATCTATAGAGTAGAGCTAATTTTTTTAAAGATTTATTTATTTATACAAGAGCTGGGGTACAGGCCAGAGGCATGGTGCAGGGATCGGGAGAGATGGAGCAGGGAGCAGAAGAGACAGATAGACCAAAAAGCATGGCTGAGGGGAGCAGCAGGCGAGACAGGAGAGGTCTGCAGCACCATGTGGGTATCTCCCTGGCAGGCCGGGAATTGAAACCACACACGCTGCAGAGGCTGTGGACAGCTTCAAAACACTGCACTCAACCCGCTGCACCGCCAGGGAGGCCCTAGAGCTAATATTTTAATAGCAAGGCAATGCATTAAAATATAACATACATCAAATACAATATATGAAAGTACTCACCATCTCAGTATCTTCTATTTTTAAAATATCCACAAGCAATGAAATAAGCCACATTTGTGTAAAACAGAAGGGATTTTTGTGTTTTTTGGACTTAATTCTCATCACAGTGACAACCAAGTACAGAAGTAAAGCATTCCTTTACAGAAAAAGAGCTGAGGGGGGAAACAAAAAAAAAAAAGTCCTCTCATTTCTGGGTAGATTTTTATTTTAGTAAAATATAAAACGATATTTTTGTGCAATATTACTATTTCTTTTACATATTCATGAAAGCAATAGTCATAACATGACTAGATATTATACAATTTGCTTTGTGTGTCTCTAGATCTTTTAGAAAGCCTGTTTCCATGACAGCACTAACAAACAAATCTTACATCATAGGATGTGCATCCTATCACAATAAATATGTGTGTGTATTATTAGTTTATCCTATCTTCATTGAACATGAACACGCAACCATTTTTTTCCTTTTATTCGGGCTTACCTTATACTATAACCAATATAATCTTTCAATTCACTGTTTCCATACATAGTTTATTATCCTTCTCAATACACACACTTAACTTACTTAACCTTTGCCTGCTTTTTCATTTCATTTGACTTATGAATTAAGCCATAAGGAGATTTTTGCCTCCAGTTTTCTACCTGCTTGGATTGATATTTGAAGATGTGAATTAGGTGATCTGTAATTATATCAACTTTACAGAAACAGAAAATTCAACCATTTTTCTTTGCTTTGTTTGTGTTTTTAGAGGCATCCAGAGAATATTATAGTAAGTAATCTCTTGCTACTCAACAAAAAATTGCTTCCCATAAGTAATACTTCCCTCGATTGTGAAATTTTGAGTAAAGAGAACTGCTGAGAGTTGATATGAGTACTAGGGGATGAAGTCTGCTGGTGCTAGTTTAGGATAGTCTGTCAGTAATGAACAAACTTCCACATTGTATGGGAGGGAAAAAAGTAAATATAGGAAACGATAAAGGAAGTGATAGAGATAAAGGGTGAGTGATAGAGCAGAGTGATAGAGATAAAGATAGAGTGACAGAAGCAGAGTGATAGAGATAAAGGGGAGGAGAAAAAAAAGAGCGAAAGTGGAACAAAGGAAAATGTGACACAATGTTTTACTGGAATGCATCTGTCTGCTAACAGATGAAATTCTTTATAGAAATTGAAAGGATGAGAGACACCCGCCCGCCCACTGGCAGGTAGTAAACCTCCCAGGGCCTGGGCTCCAGCACCTGAGAGGCGGGCACAATGATTGAAACTGACATGCAAAGGTCAGGAATCCAAACACTGATGCTTTTCCTCCTGTTCCTCTGTCTGTTTCTGTGTTTAGCACCATCAGCCAACTCCTCAGGTAAGCCCTTTGTGGTTTTCTTTCAATTCTGCTGTAATCTGGCTTGCATGCCCTAAATATTCTGTATTTGTCTTTGTGTCTCTTAAAGGAGTTTTTTAAATGTGGTACAAAATAATTAACATTTGCAAATTCGCATCCTAGATTTGATAACTGATGTTTTGTCATAATTCTCAAATGACAAATAATATGGACTTATTGCCCTTTCTCCTCTCCCAGAGACTTATATTTCATAGATCTGTTAAATATTTTCATATATTTTTATAACATATGTGCATCACAGAAAAATATATAGTATTCTTTTGGGCATATTGCTTTAAATTTTTTTATTAATTTTTTTTTTCTGAAAGTATCATTACAGTTTTGTTTTTCCCAAAAAATCACTTTAACATTGAACTATATGGGAATCCATTTTATGTATTTTTATTTCTGGATGATATTCCAATTTCTGAATATGCAGTGATTTTCTACTTTCCCTTGCTGAATTATTCCCAATGTTTATATTTTATGGTATCACAAATAATGCTGCAAAATGGCCTTACGTAAGTAGTAAACAATCTAGGGTATATACCCACATGGGATTAATGTATCACATTATGTATGAACACTTATGTAATTAAAGCACAGTATAAATTTTCCTTGCCATTGCTTAATTGAGGTCCACGGTAGTTACACGGAAGTCACCAAAATGCATTAAATGCTTCCATTTCCTTTCATCAATAGGAAGCCTAGATTTTGTCATACCTTCACATTATCACCACATTGTTAAATGTAATTTTTTTTAATTTGCACTTTCTGCTCACTCCTAAAATTGAGTATCTTCTCATATGTATACTAGCTTGATAGGCTTCACCTTATAAAAATTGTCGATTTACCCACTCATCTAGTGGAGTACTCATCTAGTGATTTGCAGGAATTTTTTGTGATGAAAAATAATCTGTTAATATGCTCTGTGTTAAGTATTTACAAATATCTCCTCCAATTAGATCTTAGTTTTAAAATTTATGGTGTCTCTTAGTATATAGAACGTCCCCATTCTCCCTTCTTCCTAAAAGAAATTAAAGAAATATTGCATAGGTCTTCCAGTCCTACTCGACCATAATAGTGTTATTAAAGAAATATAAAAAAAACTTTGAAGTTTATACCCCAAAGCTATCCATTAATGAATACCCATGAGCCTGCCACCTTGTATTGCAACTGATAACAGAATCTGGGGTGTGATCTATTGCTGCCCTCTTTCTACAATTTCTTTCTAATACAGTATTTATAGAATCTAAGGTAATCTAAGCTCTCACTGAGACTTGCAAATCTCATTCTTGTTTGGTTTGGCTTCACTTTAGCGCTGTCTCAATCAACTACTGGTAAGTCCCTTACTTTTCTTCAATTCTGCTGACATTTTGCCCCATTTAATCAAAAGGATATCTTCCTCAACTGCCCAGGTTTCCTCCATTTAGGCACAGTAGAAACTTGAGCTTTGCATTTCTTTAATTTATTTTTTCTAAACAACCCAGATATCTCAATTATCCAACAAAAATATAAGAAAAAAAATGAAAGTTTCTAGGGGTTCATTTATCATAATGAAATGTCAAGAAGAAACAAGTAACTACCAAACCTATCATGCCGGGGAAAGAGAACAAGAAAAGAAGGAAGGGAGCAAGGAGTTAGTAAGAAAGACAAGAATGGAGAGAATACAATATTAGAGGCAAATTGTGTTGTCTCCTAAGTATGTCAAGGCTTTCTGTGACTGGAAGAGAATTCTCCCCTGGAGGTGTCCCCAGGTCTCACTGGTAGTGTTATATGGCACAATGGAAATGTGGACTCCAGGGCTAACTAGAAGCAGGTTTAATGCACCGGTGCTGACTCAGTGGATTCGCACCCCACGGCTGAGCCCCGTCTGTAGGAAGTTGGGGCTTATACACACCTTCAGTTTCTACAAGGTTCCAGGTGGGTTTGCATTGGCAGCTGTACATGGTCAGAGAGGACATGGCTACATACTAAGAGGCGAGTCATACAGTTGCAGACCAAGGTGTGAGTAAAGGATCAATAGACATGGGACCCCCCCAGGAACATCCTGCCTCATGGGGGTATGGTCTAAGATTCATATCAGGGACTAAGTTGCATACCAGGAACTGAGCAAAAGGTTGTTACTAATGTCCCAGGCTGCTTATCCCAGGTGACTATGCTTCAGCAGCAGTGGACATATCTAAACCGCTACTCCCTGAGCCACAACTGATCCTCAAGTTCTGGTGTTCTCTGTCCTGATATTCAAAAAAATAAAATGTATAGTTTCTGAGCCAGACAACCACATAAACTTTTTATTTGTATGTGGGTTTTCTGGAGAACAAAGGGGTAAGTTCATTTTCTGTTTCCTAATTCTGATTCTCGCTGGTGTATCACAGAATTGGAAAATGTTCTCTAGCTCTGCTAGCTGTTGCTTCTCCTCTTCTCTTCCTCTCTAATCACCCAACATTGTATCTAAAATTTATGTGAAATTTGAAAAATGAAAAGCCCACTGATTAGTAAAGACTACTAAACTGATTTTAGCTGGCTAGGATGCTTTCAGAAAAACAAAGTTTCTTTAACTTAGAAGTAGGAGAAACAGAAGAATAATGAGGTTTATGAAGAAGGCAAGGAATGACAGCATAATAATAAGAGCTGTAATTAAAGCCATATTTATTGAGTTCAGATTTACAGGTATTACAGATGAGAACACCAAAGTGCAAGGACATTATTTAACTTGCCCAAGTACACATAGTAAAAGGGAAAACTGAGGTCCTAATTTATCTGTTTATCTAAGTATACCCCAGGACACCATTAAATATACTTATTCTTCCAGTTCAAAGTATCTTTTTAAAAAAAATAAAGGCTTGTTTCAAGAAATTTAGGAAATTGTGCATATGTAAAAAAATCATTTCAATTTTTAAAACATATTTTGAAAATCCTGAATCAATTAATTTGAAGATTATTTTGCTACTACAATACTGTGACATAACCCTATTCCATGAATAAAATCATTGAATATATAAATATATACGCACATATATTCATATATCTTCACAGAATATAGTGAGGGTTCAGTCTATAGAATACATTACTATTACTCATCATTTTCATTGAAAGTTTCACACTGCGGTTGTGGTAACCTATGCATCTATTGGTGGTGGAGGACTCATATATCTTGAGGTCGCAATATTTGGAAAGACCTGGAAAACAGGTGGAATATTGAACCATTAACTCTAGGTGGATTTGAATATTTGTTATTTTTTAGATTTACTGAAAGGATCTGTAAGTTTTTGTTCTCATTTTATTTTTTTAAAGATTTATTTATGCATAGAAGAGCTGGGATGTAGGCCACAGAAGGAGCGGTAAAAGGATTCACCAGAGACAGAATGGGGAACAGAACAGGTGGATCTACTGACACACACTGTGGAGGGGAGCAGCGGGTGTAGTACCAGTATGGGCACGGTGCAAGATATCTATGATCCAAGAAGGTGGGGTAAAGGAGAGTCCTGGAGCCCTCAGAGGCTTTCTTAGGCTTTTATTGAGCTGTACATCTGGTGTGGCAAACAGGTACATAGCAGGGGTGCCAGGGTGCCAGGGGGTCAGGGGGCGAGAAGGCCGACAGGCCTCCAAGCCCCCAGCAACTCTTCACTCTGGGCTTCTCTGGCCTTCTTTCTCACCTTCTCTCTCTAGTGCCTCTTCTGCTCCTGCCTCTTCTCCTGCTTCTGCTTCTCTTGGTGACTATCTCAATATTCCTCCCATGGCCCACAGAAGTAAATAAGATGGCTTGCAACAATGTAACAACTGCAGGTGCCCCATCAGGCAGGGCAATCCTAATGGTGGGAGGGTAGAAAAGCCTGAAAAACCATTTACCCTACAGCCAGCAAGACAGGCAATGTCTGCTGTGCCATGTGGGCTAGCTCCCTGGCCAGGGATCAAACTCATGTGGCAGTGGCTGCTGATAGCTTGATAGTGCTGTGTCTTTAACCCCTGCACCAGCACAGAGGCCCTTGTTCTCATTTTAAAAGCTGGCATTGTAGGGCTCCTACACTAGGCAGAGTACTCGGCTCCCTGTTTTAGCTATTCCCTGTTTTGTCAGAGTGATAGTGTGAGGCTCATGATTCTCCACCTTCTCCTTCATTGATTGTCTTACCTATATCATGTTCACCTGTCTCCCTTTCTCCTTCTCTAAGACAATGAAACATTCTTACTTTCAAACAAATTCTTTCATTCGTGCCTTTGATGTCTCTGCACTCCACCTAATTTCTTCAGCAGACATAGCTTCTCTGTTCTTTTTCTTTAATTCCTGAAAGTATCACAACAGGCCTTCTTCCATCCCAAACAGAGGGTCTAGACCTTCTGTTCCTCTAACTACGTCCCTCCCCTCACAAAAGAAGTTATTTCTAGGTTTACTTTGTGAGCTTGGAGAAAAGTAAATTATCAGCCTTATTATTGAAAATATGTATGATTTCTCTACAAATTGAGAGTAGCATATAAGACCTAATGCAATAATTTTTAAAATGAATTTGCTTGTTAATTGAAGTAATTTAAATATAGAACTTGCTTAGCAGTTACACAGTGTAGGGTAAGGTAAAAAAGTGTCAGCCTTTCCTGCCCTCACGCCATTAGGACTGATGATGGATCTGCAGTCTTGAATGCATGCCTGATGGCAGGCATCTGGAATAGGGTGTGGACATGTGTAAGTGGGTACACCTGGCCTGAGAGACTGGCTTTATAAGGGCAGCATCACGGGGACACCAGCAGAGCGAAAAGAATGAGAGAAGCAAAGGCCATGAGAAAACGTCGCAGAGCCCAGAGAGAGTGAAGACTTGCTGGGGGCCGGGAGGCTGGCAAACCATGTGCCTGGTAAATCCCAATGGAGGCCTGGAAGGGCAACCGAGGGCTCCAGAACTTCTCCTTCACCTGTCTGCTCAGGTCATAAAAATCCTGCTCTGTCTCTTCCTGCCACTACACACAGGCAGCTCTGTTATTGCGTTGACAACACTGCACTGATAAAGGGGAGTCTTAGAGCAGGCTGCATAATGCAGGATGTTCTGAAGAGCAAGATCCTGGCTTTTTTATTGATAGAATAATCATACAGCATCAGTTATGTGGGGTAGGAGGACAAGGAGAAAAAGATGGGTGAAATTAAATAATGTCATCTAAGGCTTCAGGGGACATGAGTCTGCTGGCCAGATAATTCTTATCTGCTTGATGACCAAGTGTAATCAAAGCCATACCCTAGATCCCTGGCCATGGTTCTAAGCTTATCAACAAGGCATTCCACTGATCAGCTTCTGGGTCCCTTGCTGTAGGGTAAACAAAATGTCAGGCTTTTCTGCCCTTCTGCCATCAGGATAGATGATGGATCCTTGTCCTGAATGCATTCCTGATGGCAGGCACCTGGAATAGGGTGTGGGCATAGGTAGATGGGATTCAGCTGAGTTAAGACTGTGCTTTTAAGGGCGGCGTCACGGGGACGCCAGCAGCAGCAGCAGAAGCCAAAGCAGAAGCCAAAAGAGAAGCAGAGAAGCAGCAGAACGAACGCTAGAGAGCCCAGATAGAGTGAAGACTTGCTGGGGGCTGGGAGGCCTGCCAGCCTCCCAGCCCCTCAGCCTGCACCCCTGCCTGCCATATGCCTGGTGAACCCCAAATAAAAAACCTGCAAAACCACTGAGGACTCTGACTCCTCCTTTACCCGGTCTGCATGGGATCAGAAAACCTGCACTGTGTCCTGCTCCTGACCTTTACACTTGCCATACATGAGTCCTCAGCCCCCCAGGCATTCCTGGTCATACCTCATGATATATGAGTCAGGAGTAAGTTTATGCAGCTGTCATCAGCCCCCAGGCGTTCTGGGTCATACCTCTTTATATATATATATCCTTCCCACGGTGATCAAGCTTTCTGCTCTTGATTGATTTTAAAGGCACTTTGTAAGACTGGCTCCTATGGCTGATTGACCGATTTCTGAAGGGTAGTTCTGACCTTGTATAGGAATGCAGAACTGCAGGTAACAAAATGGTGGCTGAAAAGACCACTTAGGAGTAGCAGACTCACAGTCTGGATCCAGGCTGCCCAAAGTGCTTCCCAGCAGCCTATGTACTTGCTCTTTGAATGCAGACAAGTTATTTAATCTCCTATTAAGTTTATAAATCAGTTACAAGATAAATTTCAACAATCCAGTTGAAAAACCAGCAGAAGAGAATAAAGATTATCTTTATTCTAGAGTCCTTCATTAGGGACTTAAGAAGAAAAATGAATAAAAAAGGGAGATTTGAGATGCTAAAGCTTAAATCAGTCTCCTAAAAATGATTCCTAATGATTGCTAACGAAATATGAACACATTCTCTAAATGCCAGGACGATTGAGAGTGGAATGTGTGTGAAAAAAGCTAATCAATCAGAAGCCATTACACCCAAAATAACAAGTTCATAAACAATCTTTTTTTTTTAGATTTATTTATTTATTTATACAAGCACTGGGTACAGTCAGAAGCGAGGGAGGGTGAGAGAATTCACCAGAGCCAGAGCGGGGAGCAGAACAGGTAGACTGACGAAATACACTGCTGAGGGGAGCAGCAGGCGCTGCAGGAGAGGTCTGCGTGCCATGTGGGACCCTCGCTGGCGGCCGGGGATTGAACGGGCGCTACAGAGGCTGGGGGCAGCTTCGCAGCCCAGCGCTCAACCGCTGCGCCACCACAGGAGGCCCCAGACACAATCTGTTAGGACGCCTTTTTTTAAAATCTGAGCTATACACTTGTAAGATTTTTCATATTGAATATTATATTTATGGTCATATTTTCAACTAGTAAAACTGCTTATTCAAGAATGGAAATACACGTTTCATGATTTTCACTATTTCATGATTTTCTCTAAAATATAACTTCAAAGTGCTCCACAACATGAAAAATTTTGTGCACCACAGGTTTTAATTAAATGTCCAGCCAATATATATGTTTAACTCTATGGGAGGAAAAGGGATTCATTTGGTCTCTCCCAAGTCAGGCACAGCCCAGGTGATGCTGATCAAAGGTTACACTATTGTGCTTGCATCCTTTATTCCAGCTGCTTTTTCACTTCAGCTCTGCAATATAAGACAAACAGGTAGTACAATTTCCATTTTAAAAACTGAAAAATTAGTGTTCAAAAGCTTTCATGATTTACCCAGTCATGGAACTGGAGCTGGGTCTTTCAAGACTATTTGTACCTCACACCTGGGGAGGAGAGTTGGAATTGCCTATACTCTAACATCTAAATCTCAGTGAGATTACCTTGTTGATTTTCATTATAGGTGATGCAAAGGACTTAAAAGCAACTCCAGAACCTTTCTGTAAGTTTCTCTTATTGCTCTAAATTCTTTTTGATTTTCTGCAATGTGCCTAACTTTGGGGGTTAGGTCAGGTGTGAGGAGGCAGGTAAAGATGGAGGAGAGAAGCTCACTACTTCTCCCACTTTCCTCTACCTTGTGAGGAACTTCAGGCTGATTTATAGATCTCCCGAGTAACTGGTGATTTTCTTATTTAGCAAAATGAAAATTCTGGTAATAAATAATTAACAGGTGAAAGAAAATTCTAGGGTTGGTTGTTGATTGGTATTGTTTATCAAAAACAAACATTTAGAATAAATTGACATCAGGAAGACAGTAGAAACTGAGGACAAAAGTATTAATGTGAGGAGTATTTTTACTGAGACCCAAGCCCTTTATGCCCCAGATTAACCATCTCAAACTTGGGTTTAGGGTGTAGTTTTTTTATAAGGGTACAATTAAAAAAAATGTAGTTTCAGCAGGGCAAAGCTGTCCTCTCCCTGAGGACCCATTCAACACTAGGGTGAATCTAGCTGACTAATGGGTGGTCAAGATGGTAGCAGCTTGATTAATCTGTCAACAGAGAAACTCAGCAGAGGATGCAGGATATTTTTTTAAGGCCCTTTAACAGCATTATTATGTTAATGATTCAAGGATTATAGGGAAGACTAACTGAGGCAGAGGACTTTACATTACAGAGGAAAATCTCTCCCTGTTTACATTTTGTTTTTGCTCTTCCACTATGATCTTATTGGTCTTTTAAGAGTAAAAAAAAATCGAGAAATGCAGTTACTTTCTTACCACTTTTCTGTAATTCTAGTATGTAGTAAAATGCTTTATCTGAAGCTCCTTCATTCTTGCTGTCTCCAAATGACTTGTTTGTTTGTCTTTTAGCTGGCACTGCAGGACCCATAAGTAAGTTCTCTTTGTTCATCAATTTTCATTTGGCTTTGCCTTAATACTGTTAACTGGAATAAAAGTCTTAGTGATAGTTTATTAGATAATCTGAGTGAATATTTGAATCCAGGAAGCAGTCTGACAAATTTTAATTCTGGGAGAACTGTTCCAACAATAACAGGTTTAAAATTAGTTTCTACACTACATGATATGCACATCAAAGACATCTTTACAGACACATCACCCAAAGCAGTGATAGTGAAGGCAAAGATAAACAGCTGGGACTACATCAAATTAAAGAGCTTCTGCACAGCAAAAGAGACAATAACAAAAACAGAGAAACCCCACCGACTGGGAGAACATTTTTGAACACAACACTAATGATAAAGGACTGATCACAAAAATCTACAAAGAGCTGATGAGACTCAACAAAAACAAAGAAAATAATCCAGTCAAAAAAAGGGCAGAAGAGCTAAAAAGAAATTTCTCTGAAGAGGATATGCAAATGGCCAACAGGCATATGAAAAAATGTTCAACATCACTTGTCATCAGGGAAATGCAAATCAAAACTACAATGAGATACCATCTAACACCAGTGAGAATGGCACATATTAAAAAAACTAGCAACAACAAATGTTGGCGAGGATGTGGAGAAAAAGGAACTCTCCTGCACTGCTGGTGGGTGTAAAGGCAAGAACGGTCACAGTGCAGGTTTTCTGATCCCATGCAGACCGGGTAAAGGAGGAGTCAGAGTCCTCAGTGGTTTTGCAGGTCTTTTATTGGGGTTCACCAGGCATATGGCAGGCAGGGGTGCTGGCTGGGGGGCTGAGAGGCTGGCAGGCCTCCCAGCCCCCCAGCAAGTCTTTACTCTATCTGGGCTATCTGGCGTTCTCTGCTTCTGCGTCGGCTTCTCCTTCAGGTTCTGCTGCTGCTGGCTGGGGCTGCTGGCATCACCCCGTGACGCCGCCCTTAAAAAGCACAGTCTTAGCTCAGCTGAATCCCATCTACCTATGCCCACACCCTATTCCAGGTGCCCACCATCAGGCATGCATTCAGGACAAGGATCCATCATCTATCCTGATGGCGGAAGGGCAGAAAAGCCTGATATTTTCTTTACCCTACAGTGGGAGTGCAAACTGGTCCAACCACTATGGAGAGCTGTGTGGAGATTTCTGGACCTACTAAACATAAAGCTTCCATATGATCCAGCGATTCCACTCCTAGGTATTTACCCAAAGGACACAGAAACATCAATTCCAAAGAGCACCTGCACCCCTATATTTATAGCAGCACTATTTACAATAGCTAAGCTTTGGAAACAACCCAAATGCCCAAAAATAGATGACTGGATCAAGAAGATGTGGTACATATACACCATGGAATATCACTCACTATTCAAAAAGATAAGCACATGCAATTTGCAGCAACATGGATGGAGCTGGAATGGATCATGCTCAGCGAAATAAACCAGAAAGAAAAAGAAAAATACTGGATGGTCTCACTCATAGCAGGAATCTAGAAAACTTAAATAAGTGACCAGGAAAAAGAATAACTATAAGAAAGAAAATATCAAAATCAACAAATAATTATGAACCAGAGACATTCTATGGGGGTGGGGGGCAGGGAAAGGAGGGCTTGGGGTCAAAATAAGGGGGTTGTAATTGTAAGGGGAATATAAAAATAAAACTTAAATAATAAAGAAAGCAAACATTGTAAAAAAAGGAACAATGATGTAAAATATATAAAAAATAAAATAAAAAATTAAAAAAATAAAATTAGTTTCTATAGGGAGGGAAAATAAGTCAGGGACATTAAAACTGTAACTATTCCTGATGGGACGTAGGGGGTGGTGGTCGTGCATGTTCTGTTATTTTGACCTAAAGTTATCTCTGCCTTTCTAAAGAATGAGTGAATTGTTGGAGGGGATTATGCTGAGAGAACCAAGTTAAAAGAGAGACAAATAGTGGATGATTTTGATCATATGTGGAATATAAAGAAACAAAATGAAGGAACTGACAAAAACAAACCAGAAACCCTAGAAATCAGACTATTGAATTGAAACTGTTACAGGGCAACCCCAATGTGACATGGGTTGTCTGACTGAGGGTCCTCACCTGTGCGCTTAAGAGGGACTTATAATGAGACTTAACTGCAGACACACAAAAAGGTTAATAAAGAGTATTTACAAAAAGGGGAAATGAATAACTCAGGGAGAAAGAGAGATATTGATGAATGCCTCCTGCCAGTTCCCGCTGAGCTGGAAACCCAATAGCACACTGAACACAGGCAAAAAGCCAAGAATCCCCAAGGCCCACATGACTGATTATTATACCAAGTCTGGCTGCTTAACTCCAGCCTCAGTTCCCAGCTATTCTCCCTCTAATGATGATGACATTATGGGATTTGTAGTCTTTGGTGTCTTGATCTCTTTAGTCCAGGTTGGGGGTGGGGTCCATAAAACCTATTTGTGGAGTTTGTTCAGGACATCCTCTCCCTGCAACAAAACTAGCAGAGGGTGAGTGTAGGGGTGGGGGATGGGAGAGGACTTTAGGTGCTTTGATGGTGGGTATGTTGTAGTGACACACATCTGAAGAGATTTGAACCTATACCCCTAAGTCATATGCAGAGCTGTTAACCAATGTTACCACAGTAGAAAAAAAAAAAACTTTTAAAAAATAAGTAAATCTTTATCCAGCTCATTAGTTAAAAGTAGGAATGGAAAAGGCCAGCTCTACATTTAGGAAGAAACTCGCATAGCTGTTTCACAAACGTCAAGTCTATGTGTAGGGTAAGTGAAGATCTCAGGCTTTTTCGTCATTGGCTTCTGTAATTATTGCCTGTGGCCTTGAATGAAGGAGTCACTTGGGAGTATGGGCTTGGGGTATGCATGCCTTATGGTGGACACCTGGAATATGTTGTGGGTGTGCGTAAGTGGGCACACCTGAGCCTGGAACCTGAGCCTGTAAGGGTGGTGGAGCACAGCAGCTGACAACAGCAGAAAAGCTACCAAAGGAGGAGACCTTGAGAGAATGCCAGGGAGAGTAAAGATTCTCAAGGGGCTAGGAGGCCTGCTAGCTTCCTGCCCCACGCCCCCACCCCCAGACTCCCCTGCCTGCCCTGCACCTGTCTGCCACTATAGCTGTGCAGAGCTGCCACTACAGTTTGTTTACTAGAGCAGGGAGGGGCAGTTACCTTTATAGTATGTCCACTGCACTGTTTGTCTAAGTGACACACTCCTGTCCTTGGCCTACCAGCCTCCCAGCCCCCAATGAGTCCTCACTCAGCATTCTCCGACGCTCTCTCATGGCCTCTGTTCTCTCTCTTCTCATGCTTCTGCTGGCATCCCCATGATGCTACCCTTATAAGCCCAGTCTCTCAGCCCGGGTGTACCCACTTACACATGCCCATACCCTATTCCAGGTGTCTCCCATCAGGCATGCATTCCAAACCACAGGGATCCATCATCAATCCTAATGGCAGGAGGGCAGAAAAGCCTGATACTTTTTTACCTTACCCTACACATGGCAAAAGCAAAAATATTAAGAACAAAGCAATAGAGTAAAGAGCAGGGAGGCCCTTTGCTAGAAATCCAGTAACAGCTATGGACCCAAGCCCTCTTCCTGATTGAGCGTTCCCAGCTGTGCTTGATGGTTGTGAGGCCTGCATATGTCCTGCTACTAACAAAGAGTGAGTCTGGAAGACGTGTCAAAATAGCATTTTAAATGACATTACCACAAGTACTCTGGCAGAAGCACTGGGAGGGGAACGAGTGAGGGCTCAGTGACAAGCAGTTGTTTTAAAAAACGGGGAAAAATGGTATGTGGAAACATGCTCTGAGATTTTACTTGTCCCTTATGATCTTGTTTCTTTCAATGGGTCTGCAGTGGCATCACTGTAGTTAGGTAGTGTAGGGTAAAGTAAATGATTGCCAGGCTTTTCCGCCCTCCTGCCATTAGGATTTATGCTAAATCCCCGAGGTCCTTGAATGCATGCCTGATGGCGGACACCTGGAATAGGGTATGGGCATATGTAGATGGGATTCACCTGGGCTAAGACTGGGCTTTTAAGGGAGGCATCATGTGGACGCCAGCAGAAGCTGAGAAAGAAGCCAAGAACAAATGGAAGCCAAGAGAAGAAGAGAAGCAGAGAGAATGCCAGATAAAGCCCAGATAGAGTGAGGATTTGCTGGGGGCTGGGAGGGCTGCCAGCCTCCCGGCACCCCAGCACCCCTACCTGCCATGTGCCTGGTAAAACAAAATAAAAGACCTGCAAAAACCACTGAGGACTCTGACTCCTCCTTTACCTGGTCTGCTGAATCAGAAAACCTGCACTGTGCTCATTCCTGCCCTCTATAATTGGCGTAAGTCAGCAAGATGATCCATGCAGACGGGTATGGAGCCCTCTGAAGACCTGGAAGGACTAAGGAGTAACAGACTGAGAGCCTGTGATGATGCTGGAGGTGTCATGGCGACACAGGATGAAGGACAAGGTCCAGGAGCTGTGAGACGAGACCTTGTGTGGAGGAGATGCCAGAGAAGACCAGCCAATGACCCCCAAGGCAGCAAGAATCGTCGGGGAAGAGAGGACCGCAATTTGGAGCTCACCAGTGCTGATGGCAGGGAGAGGCCAAATGGACTTGGACTGATGAACTTGGACTGACAATCCCACCAGAAGGCAGAGGAACTTTGGCAAGTTAATGTTGTTTTGGGATCCTGGGAGAGGATGCTATTGTTTGTACACCTCCAGAGATAGGAATCTGGGGGTGGCCAGTGGGCCTTGGTGGTCAAAAGCAGCCTGTGTACTGCCCAGCAGCTAGGCAGAGGAGAAAAGCCAACTGAGAAGGAAAAAGCTGGTGCTAAGTTGAGAAGCCCTGAGTGGCTGTTAAGCACTAAGTTAAGCTGAAGAAGGCCAGTGAGTCTCGTAAAATCACCTGTGGGTGAGGCCCTGCTTATTGTCTAATAAGGGTGAGGATCTGAGGAACTCATCCTTGGGGGACGGGTGGGGTACGTGGTTTGGGG